AGGGCCAATTCAGCAAATACCCACACATGGACTCCAACTTCCTCTCTGTCCTCACATGGTACCCCTTCACTGGCACATTATGTAACTCATGGCGTCTGGTTCCTTTTTTTCTGCTCTTCTTCCTTTTTCTCTTCCAGTAAAGAAAACCACATGTGCTTGCCCTAAAATTGCTTTACATTTTCTCTCTCTGTCTAGATGTGCCCTCACAGTCAGGCTAGTGGGCTTCTGACTAGGCCCCCGGTCTCCTGGTGGGGCTCTGCTCTCCTGGGCTCTACACCACCTCCCAGCCTTCATCCCTCTTCCCTGCTTGGGACACAAGATTTATGTTGGTGGGGGGGGGGGGGGCGGAGTTTGAGGGGCTGTCAGGGCATATGCAATGGGAACTCTAACAGTAATGACAACCATCAGATTTTCTCTTACTTCTCAGGTTTGCACACACGGTGCCCTCTTAGAATGCTCAAGGAGTCCTACCTGTCCTCAATTCTCAGTTTAGATATCACTTCTTCTGGGAATCCTTTCCTGATATACCCCCCCCCCCACACACACACACTCTCACTTTCCACCAAGACTAAGCCAGTCCTCCCATCCCACTCTTTCTTCCTCATATAGAAATTCTTACCACAATTCACTTACCACATTCTTGCTAACTTGCCTGTATGCCCCCTCGACCCCAATGTGATCAGAATAGGGACTTGCTTCCCTTGTTCTCCACTCTAGTCCTAGAGCCTGGCAGCTATCCCCACCAAAGATAAAAATTAAAGAAGTGTTGAAAGCTGTTGAAGGCTAGCCACCAAGTGATTTTTGGGTATTATCTCATCACAATCTTAGAAAGCAAGGACTAGTATTCCCATTTAATAGATGGAGAAAATAAGGTTCAGAGAGGTTAAGTTGCCCAAAGTCACATTATTGGAAGAGGTGTCATGAGGTTGTCAGACTTCAAAGTCTTTATGTTTAATTCCCTGCACCAGTTGGAGTTCAGTCAGAGAAGCAGAACCACTAGGAGTGATACCATGAGGGGTTTAAGAATCGGAACTTTGCTAAAGCAGGTTTGGCTCAGTGGATGGAGCGTCATCCTACGGACTCAAGGGTCCAGGGTTCTATTCCCGTCAAGGGCATGTACGTTGGTTGCAGGTACATTCCCGGTGGGGGGTGTGCAGGAGGCAGCTGGTTGATGTTTCTCTCTCATTGATGTTTCTGACTCTCTATCCCTCTCCCTTCCTCTCTGTGGAAAATCAATAAAATATATTATTTTTAAAAAATTGGAACTTTCAGCAGCAATTTTTGGGTCTCCTTAAGTGATCTTTGCAAGGCTATTGATTCTGCCTCTGGTGCTGGGGCCTGCAATCTGCAGGGTAGGTAGTCAGGAAGGAAAGATGGACGTGAAGTGGAAGACAGCAAGGACACACTGGGATTCATGGGGCCCATCTGGACACCCCAGGACAGACTGGTACCTAGAGAATTGCTTGATGGTTGTGGAACCCTCCACCCCCATAGAAATTGGATGTTCAGAACCTCTTTAGATGGGGAACAGCTATTAGAATTGTTTGGAATGTAGGGATGCTAGAAATGAGGAGAGCATATGACAGTGTACATCTATTTAAAAAAATGAAACTACTCATTATCTCAATATTGTCTCTAAGGTGTGTAAAGTAATGTAATAAAAACTACATGAGAGTATAAAATAAAACATACTCTTCTCTCTGACTGAACCTCCATGTCTCCGTCCTCCCCAGGTTTTATCCCAAACACACATCTTCGAGAAGCCTTCTCTGACCTCCACCCATACCCACCCCAACCGGATTTACATTTTGTAATACACATCAAAATGTTAATTGAGTGGTTGTTTATCTGTGAGTCTTCCCCAAGAGCATAGGAATTCTATTAAGGTAAAGGCTGTTCCTGCTTTCCCACCTCGGTATTTACAGTGCTTACAATATTATTGGATGTTCAATAATTATTGACAAACTGGCTGCATGAATCAATCATGCAGAGATAAAAGAATTTGTTTTGGCTGCTGTCTGAGTATGTTTATAATCTCATTTTGTGAGGTAGTGTTGAATGGACATCTTTTAGGCTGTTTTCAAAAGGATCATTGAAAAGAAAACGATTCCATGAACTTACAAGTATCAACTACAGCATTTCCCCTTTCACTACAGTTTCACTTTCTGCAGTGTCAGTTACCTAGAGTCAACCATGGTCTGAAAGTGTTATATGGGAAATTCCAAAAATAGACAATTCCTAAGTTTTAAATTGCATGCCATTCTGAGTAGTCTCGGACTGTCCTGCTTGGACATGAATAATCCCATTGTCCATTATGCATCCTTTAGTCATTCGGTAGCCTTCTGGTTATCAGATCGACTGTTGTGGTTATCTCAGTGCTTGTGTTCAAATAACCCTTATTTCACTTAATAATGGCCGCAAGCACAAGAGCAGAGACGCTGGCAATTCAGATATGCCAAAGAGCAGCTGTTATTAGTGTGTCATTCAAGCGAAAAGGTGACCATGCTCAACTTAATAAGAAAGGAAGACATAGCATATGCAACCCTATAAGATCCCTACAACCATAATCACCAAGTCATGGACACGAGAATTATCTCTGTTTTCCAGAAGAAAGAGTCTGCATTTCCAGCAAGCTCCAAGGTGATGCCAGTGCTGTCCCTGGACCACAATCTGAGTTGCTAGATTCTGGATCTTCAGCCCTCAATCCGCTGTACTCCCCACCTCCATTCTCTGACTGACTACTCCTGAATCTGCTTCCCTTCCTACGCAGCTTTACCCAAGGTAAAGCTGAAATGACTTCCAAGGGCAATCATTTCAGCTTTACCTTGCCCCAGTCTTTCTGGAACAACCACCCTGGCCATCTCCACCCCGGCCATCTCCACCCCTGTCCTGATAAAATCTCCTGTCTCCACTCACAGAACCATGAAAGGCAGCCATGGAACTGCCACGGCTTCTGGTGATTTCTCACGTACAATCAGCGACCCTTCACTTTGTTCCTGTCAGATCCCTTTCCCAGACCGTATGCTAACTTTGCCTAAATTTAACTGATCTCCCTATCCCCACACCCCTCCTTTCAGCGAACAATCAAAGGAGAGCCTTTTCAGGCCTTCTAGAAGTCCCCTCTACCATCGTTAATGGCTGCGTACTTTTTTTTTAATCCACTAAAAAATTCAACAATATCAAATTAAAAATTTCCAACTCTTAGAAAACTATTCTAAACTAGATTATTTCCTTAATAAACAGCTTACGGAGTGATCCAGATGTGTGACACTTTATAGTCTTTGCTCTGAAACCTTTCTGTTCTGCTGCCTGGGAATCACAGGCCGATTTTACAATAGTACCTGCCGCCAAAAAAGGGCAGGCAAACTCTTGAAGGCACATTTGGTTCACCGAAGGCACTTTTTAAATTTTTTGAAAACGTTGTCCTTTTCTTTTGTGCATTTACTACAAGTTTTTCCTTTGTGGTTACGGTGGGTTTCACATATAACATCCTATTTACTTAACAGCAGTCTATTTTAAGTTGATAGCAACTTAAGTGTGAACACATTCCAGACTTTATTCTTTTACTCCCCAGCACATTTTATATTATAATGACCTTTTTACTTAATTTAATACTATGTCTTCCTTTACCCAGGCACTTAAAAAAAAAAAAATCTCTTCCTCGGCCTCATAGAGAGAAATCCTGTTCCATTTGTATGGAGTGAGGCCGTGGCACCACCACTTTTAACGTGTAGAAGAGGAATGTTATTGCCAATCAGTGGTTTTCAAACTTTTTGTATATTCACAGGACCCTTGGCACCGAGGCCCTCATTACCTTGTGGTCACAGGCAATGCGGTCACAGGTAATGCGGGACAGGTGCACGCGGTCTCCGCCCCCCCTCCCCCCAAACCGCCTCAGGTTTGGGGGAAGCCCTCCTTCTCCCCAGTGCAAACACAGACCACCCAGTCCTTCCAGAAGAAAGCGTTTTAGGGAGGGAGAACGGATGTTGACCTAGGACGTATGAGTGGAGGGAGCCCTGGATTTGCAAATAGTGGCTCTGCTTTGTTCTCTGCGATTTCCAGCTTTAAATAGACCTCAGATTTAGTCAACTCTCATTCACCATATACTGTAATTTGCCGGAAATTTTCCTTGACTCCACACTTGACATTTAAAACTTTCGCACACATGCTTTCTTTTTCAAATCCCACGCGACTGCAGAGCGGGGCTGAGGAGCCTGGCGCGGCTGGGGGCGCGGCCCCGGCCCCTCCGCCCGCAGGGACCCCCGGAGCCGCCGGTGCGGCGCTCGTGCACCCTGAGCTCAGCTCGCGGGGCGCCTCCCGCGGCCCCCAAGACCCAGCGCGGGGAGCCGGCCGAGCTTCTAACATCTGCAAACAAACTGGCCGCAGCAGCTGGAGGCACCAGACGCCGGAGCGCCCGGGAGCCCCTCCGCGGCGGGAGCTGGAGCGGAGCGAAGCCTGAGACCGCCGCCGCCGGCCCGCCCTCCGGGCCCGGGCGCCCGGGAGCCCAGGTGCGAAGGAGGCGGAGGAGCCCGGGAGGCGCGTCCCGGCCCCGCCTCGGAGGGACCCAGAGCGCCGGAGTGGGCCGGCGGGACGTCAATCAGGAGACAGGGGCGGGTCCTGAGCGCGCCCCGCCCCCCGGCCGGGCTATAATGGGCGCCCGTGCGGCCGCGGGCGGGTGGAGGTGTGCGCGGCACGGGGTGAGGCCGGGGGCGCGCGGACCATCTGCGGAGATGCGGGAGGAGAGGGGGGCGCGGGGGGCGGGATGGCGGGATGGCAGGTACCCCAGGCTGCCGGGGCTCCGGGGGCACTCACTCCCCAAGGTGTTGCTTCCAACTTTTGCCTCCTCCTTCGGGAGCGGGGAGCGGTGGTGTCCGGAGATCGGACTCTAGACAGTCAGTCCCCGGGGCTGGGCACGTCCCCCCCGGCTCCCGCCCCGCCCGCCCCATCCCCTTCCCAGCCGGGTCTCCGCCTGATTGACCGTTTCTATTCGTCTCCAGACCATGGACTTCGCCCGCCTCTGGCTCGGGCTGCTGCTGCCCTTGGTGGCCGCGCTGGATTTCAGCTACCACCACCAGGAAGAGATGGAAACGTTTCTGAAGAACGTTGCCCAAAACTACAGTTCTGTCACTCACTTACACAGTGTGGGGAAGTCTGTGAAAGGTAGGGGCCGCCTCGCGCGCCGCTGCAAACCTTGCTTTTCCTTTAGTGCACAGACCTCAGCTCCGGGACCCCTCTCCAGGGAGCTGCTCCGGGGGCTCCGGGCGGGGACCCCATGCCTGGCTTGCTGGCGGCTTGGTGTGTTGTGTCATTTGGTCTCGTGAGAGGAGTGGCAAGAGGACCACCTGAGTTTTGCCGAGTGCCGCCGCCGCCGCCGTCGTTCGAAGTCATTCGTTCCTAGGAGTGAAGGGTGTGGTGTCATTTCGGATCTTGCAGGCATTGGTTGGCTGAGATGGGTCTTTGGGTTCCTTTTGTAGATAAGCTGCCCAAGAGGTCCGTGTGTCCGTCTCGGGTTTCCCTTTTAGTTGACTTCTTTAAAATATGACTCAGACTGTTAGTATCAAGTCTAAAAGGTCTCTCTTAAACTCAAACAGTGCGGTTCTGTTGGTGAGATTTCCATGTCTTGCATAATTAGTCCAAATGCTTAATGTTTGCAAAAAAAAAAAAAAAGTGGCTCTGATACTGTTAAAGGCTGTTTTTATAATTATCCATTTGGATAAGACAATTGCGGGATAAGAAATATGTTAACGGTGATTTCACGTCTATTGTTTAATCGCTTTATTGATTTAGTTTAGAAACTATACATTAAGTATCAATATATAACGTTATATTGGGTAGTTGTCATTTCTATAGACAGGGATGTTGAATCCCTTAAAGATATTAAGGATTTTGCCCAAGGTCACCCAGATGGTAAGTTTTACAACCAGGATTGGCTCTGAGATCAGTACTTCAGGGCTAGGACATTTGGGGGCAAGACAAATAAAGTTATTAGCTATTACTTCTTTTTTAATCTTCATTGCTGAAAGCATTACATAGGTCCTCCTTTTCCCCTCACTAACCTCTTCCAGCCCACTCCCAAGCCCCCCTCCGGCCACCCCATTGTCTGGGTCCATAGGAGATACTGCAGCTTAATCCTCCTTTGTTTTACTGATACCTACAAAGAGAGATGTCTGACTGGTGCGTGAGACCAAACCTGGGTTCAGCAACCTCAGACTTGGGCTCTGGATAGGAAAGAATTCAGAGCAAGACCCAAACTGTAAGAGAACATTTATTGGGTAAAGTACAGAGGTAGAAACAGTAATTTCTAGAAGAAATGGGCTGAGGAATCAAGTTATAGAGCTAAAGGAAGGGTCCTGGGAGCTGGGGAGTGAAGGAGCTAATGGTAACATGCCTGAGGCGAGGAAGAGAAGAGAAGAGGGAAGGGAACAGAAAGACTGGTGTGTGCTCCTGAGGCGAGAGCGCCCTGGGTCCTCAGTCCTAAGGTTTTAGGGTGGACATTTTCGAGGAAGTGCCAGGGGAAGATTAAAAAAAATAAATAAAAATAAAAAAAATATATATATATAATTGATTTTTTACAGAGAGGAAAGGAGATTAGAGAGTTAGAAACACTGATGAGAAACATCAATCAGCTCCCTCCTGCACACTCCCCACTGGGGATGTGCCCGGAATCGAACCCAGGACCCTTCAGTCCGAAGGTGGCTCTATCTACTGAGCCAAACCGGCTTTGGCCAGGGGAAAATCTTAATAGAATTTTCAACAGTTTTCCAGGTGTGTCCTTTGAAGGTTGTGGTCTCCACACTGATTGGCCAGCACCAGGGCAGGGGGTCATGACTCAATGCTGGAGGTCCTGACTTGCGACTGTTTTTTGTTGCTTATCTGAACCTGACAACAGAAGTTATCTCTAAGGAGAAGAAGTCAGAGAGTCCAAGCCCTTGATCTTCACTCGCCTAGGGAAAGTTACCCTGGGGCCAAGGTCCCACCCTGCAAGTGATTGTCCACTAGGCACCTGAGGCTTTGCATCCTGGGGACCTTCTGTACCCAGCTCATTGTTCTTGCTCTACTCCTGTCTGTCTAATTGCCTACAACAGTTTGGATCTCAATTTTTTATCTTCAAACACTTCCCTCCCCCCTACTCCTCTTCCCTTCCCGCAAGGTTTATTTTAAAGAAGTATAACATACTCATGTGCAATGAAAAATATAAATAAAAATCCAAGGCTTATGTGTATAATGGTGCTTTTGTTTTAAAACAACATTGCCAAAAAAGTTGGTGCTATAATTACTCTATATTGCCCTGTAATCCAAAATTTTAGAGGTTAGATGCCCGAGAAAGCTGTATCTTGAATCAGCATACGTATTAAACCTTTTGAAATAATTTCCTCTTAAGGTTAGAGAGGGACAATTTTAAAAGATCTAAGGATACTAATTACATTAACAAAGAAAATATAGACCACAACTAGCTGGAGTTATTGTTCAGTCATCATTTAAATGGCAAGGTGAGAAGGATGTTGTTAATTTTAATACTGGCTTCAGTACTAGCTTTGGTAAGTTCTTACTTCTTCAAGCACAAAGTGTCCTTGAAAGCTGGGGAGTCTCTTCATGCAAGCCAGCTATTTTGATCTGTCCTGCGTGATACCAGACCACAAACTGTTATAGAATGGTAAGAAGCTAGGAAAATTCCGCGACCAGCAGAATAGGGAAACTTAAGTTGGTTAAATAGCAGTTTGCAGCCACCTAATCAATCTTATCTTCCTTAAACCAAGGACACTTAAGAGTAAGTGGTTTGCACTTCTCCTTTCCAACCAGAGGGTAAATAGTTTAAATACAACGGTAGCCCTACTCTGAGAGACAGATAACAGAAACCCAACTGGTGCCATTTTCCAACCACACTCAAGGACAGACAAATTAAGGGAATAAATCTCATTTTGATACTTCAGCATAAAGTCGTTGAATTTTTGATCTGCCCATAAGACCCTGTCTAAACACCCAGCCTTTATTTATTTAAATAAATATTTAAATATTTTTATTGATTTCAGAGAGGAAGGGTGAGGGAGAGATAGAAACATCAGTGGTGAGAGAGAATCATTGATTGGCTACCTCCTATACGCCCCCTACTGGGGATTGAGCCCAAAATCCAGGCAACACTCAGCCTTAAAAACCCCTAAAAGTGGAGGTCCCAGGGCACTCTCCCTCCACGGAGCATACCTGGGCCACCCTCCTCCTCCCCCTCCCACATGCTAACCTCTAAGACCCTATGAAACTTGCAGTCAGGGGAGCAGCACCTGATCCAGGGCTAATCCCCTTGAACCTGTCTCCGAGGCCCCCTGTTCTCTGACTTCCCAGTGAGCTAAGGCAGCCCAGCCTATGTCTCCTGTTGCTTCCTCTATGCCCTTCCTTGTTTCACTCTCCTAAGTATATTTTTGCCGCGGTCAATAAATTCCTGCCTGCTTTTGTACACTTGATTGTCTCTTGTCCTCAAGAAGTCAAGAACCGAGATCTTTTTGTCTCTCCAGAAACAGGACCAGCAGCCTTTTTGCTGTGGTGGTGGTTTGTTATACGTGTCCCTGTGGTTAAAGGACTGAGGAGTTATCCTGTGAAAAAGAAAATCTGACACTAGTGGTCAAATGTTTGAACTGAGTACGTTCTGAATAATCCACTCAGATTGAGAAAAATCCCAAATCTGCTCTTAGATCCCAAGTGGTAGGCGAACCTACACACTGTAGCTGAGAGTCCGTGGCCGCAGTCTCTCTGCATGTTAGTAGGGGCATTAAAGACAGTGCCCCTTGGTTGGCACGCTTCGCTAGATAGGCAATTTCTCCTGGCCAACCTGCCCTCTAGTGTAAGATAAGTTTGCTTAGCAAACAGGATTCATTACACGTGATGTTTATTTTTCTTTTTCTGTTATGAACACGTGCAACCTACCCTGAAGGGGAAGTAATATTCCTACCTCACTGAATAATTTTTTTATTTTTGTAAATGCATATTTTATATATTTTCATTGTTGTAATCATGAATTCTACTCTGCCCCCCCTTCTTGTTATTTCATTGCATTTAAAAAATATATATTTTTTATTCTTTTTTTTTTTTATATAGAGAAAAAGGGAGAGAGATAGTTAAAAACATCAATGAGAGAGAAACATTGATTGGCTGCCTCCTGCACACCTCCTACTGGGGATATGCCTGCAACCAAGGTACATACCCTTGACCAGAATCGAACCTGGGACCTTTCAGTCCGCAAGCCGACACTCTATCCATTGAGCCAAACTGCTTAGGGCTCATTGCATATTTTTATGAATTGACAAAATCTGCAGATGTGAATTGGTTGCTATATACTATTTCATACTTTTGATTATCTGGATTTTCTTAGTCATTCACCTCTTTGAGGCATCAGTATAGTTTCTGATCTTTTTTTATAAACAGTGATGTTATAAAATCATTGATGCATGAGATAATAATTTACTTCTGCTATATTTGATGATTTTTTTTCAGTTTTTAATTTGGAAGTATTTGAAAACCACACAAAAGTTGAATTGCATGCGCACCCTTCACCTAGATTCAGACATAGTGGACTGACCATGTTTCAGTTGAATCTTGTGGAGAAACCCCACTACCTAACGCCATAGTGAAAAAATCTACATGCAACAAGAGAAGCAACTCAGAACAAACAAGCAGAACAACCTGACAATTGAGTTGAGAAAAACCAGTAAAAGTACAATGGTCATTGGCTCATCCCTCCATTCAGTTAAGGAAGCTTCTCCCCTGCCCCTTTTTAAAAATTCCTAATGCCGCCGAAGCCGGTTTGGCTCAGTGGATAGAGCGTCTGGAAGGTCCCAGGTTCGATTTCGGTCAAGATCATGTACTTTGGTTGCGGGCACATCCCCCGGTGGGGGGTGTGCAAGAGGCAGCTGGTCGATGTTTCTCTCTCATCGATGTTTCTAGCTTTCTATCCCCTTCCTTTCCTTTCGGTAAAAAAAATCAATAAAATGTATTTTTTTTTTTTAAATTCCTAATGCCCTTTGTGTAGCAGGCTACCTGGTACATATTCTGCAATCTATGTTTATGTAATGAATATTTGCTGGGCAGATACTGTGCGAAGCAAGCTAAGATGGGTGTCATTTGTTCCCTGCATCAGGCAGCCTGCTTGAAAATAAGAATGTATTTATTGT